GCTAGGAGACTTAAAGCCTCTTCCTTTTCTTCCCATTGTGTTGACTGGGCTTTTCTAGGGGAGGAGTGGGGCCAGTTAAAAGCTCCCCATGCCAACCGATTGATCTTCTCCCACGACCTCTCCAACGGGGCCATGAGTATGCTGGAGGTGTTTGTGTCTAGCCTGGAAGAGTTTCAGCCAGACCTGGTGGTCCTCTCTGGATTGCACATGATGGAGGGACAAAGCAAGGAGTTCCAGAGAAAGAGACTCTTGGAGGTAATAGCACTGTTCTAGAATGTCACTGACCTCGGCAGTATGTTTCTTCAGAACCCTGCTTCTTTTGGCCTCTACAGCTTACGCTGCCTTGCCCTCAGTTCTGGCCTTCCCGGGAGATACCGCGGCAGCTGGCTCTGAGCCTTCCTCTTGCTCTAGGGAGGCACCTCACAGTATTCTTTCAGACACAGGCAGCAGCTTGAGTAGGACAGGTCAGAACATCTTCCTGCCTGAGCCTCTGTATTCTGTGCTAAACTGAATGTGGCTGAAAGCTGCAGTGTTTATAGTTTGTGTCCTTTGTGTTATGTGTCATCTCACTTCCCATCAGCTATTGCTGCAGATTCATATAGCAGTTGAGGCCAACTGCTCAGTTTAGGTCCCCAGGAATAGGCTGATTACATGAACATATAGGGTGGTCCTTTGTGCTCTCTGAGTCTGTAATCCAGTGCTTCTCTGCAGAGCCTAGGTGTCCCTGTTGGAAAAAGTATCCCTCATCCACAGAGGCCGTGGAAACCTACATAGCTTGGAATTTTCATGAGGATGCAAAGAAGACAGTGACAATCCACACTCCTCTAGGACCTGATCTTTTCTTCCTTTTGTCTGACTTCTATATCTAATAGCAATGCTGTCCTCTTTTCACAGGTTGTGACCTCTATTTCTGACATCCCCGTTGGTATTCCAATTCACCTAGAGCTGGCCAGCATGACCAGTAGGGAGCTCATGAGCAGCATTGTGCATCAGGTAACCACGTGGGCAGCACATGGGGCCCTCATTGGCCCTGACTCTCATGGGGCCTTGCAAAGACGTGCCTTTGTCAGCAGGACCAGCTGTTTGGGCTCAGGGGCCAGCTCACTGAGGGATGGCTGTCCTGTCACTCAGACTTAGGTTCTTGGAGATCTAAATAAGGAACCAGAACTGTTCTGGAACAGGATCTCCTTCTAGGTTAGAAATATGGCAGTGCATCTCATGGGTTCATGGGCTATTCTCCTTCTAGAATGGGGAAGTTGGGAGTGAATGGTCTAAAGCCGAGCTGCTTTCAACAGAATGTCAAGAAGATCAGAGAAATGGATTAGGGGGAGCTTTACTCCCTTACCACCAGGCATCACGTGTTCACTCCTGCCTTGGGATGGCTAAGGTGATTAGATAAATTTGAGAGGGTAATGCTTAAGAATATAGACTTGGGGAACATGAGTTGGAATGCTAGCTTTGCCATTCACTAGCTTTATGAACTTGGGCAAGTTAGTTACCCTTTTATTTTATTTATTTAACCTTTATAATGGTTAATCATATGTTTCAAAACCCCCAAAATACTAAAAGCTATACAATAAAGTCACCCTCCCTCTTTCCCACCACTTGTACCCACTGTTAGTACTCTCATTAGTTTCATCTGTATCTCTCCAGTGTTACTACACTACACACACACACACACACACACACACACACTCTCTCTCTCTCTCTCTCTCTCTCTCTCTCTCTCTCTCACTGAGTGGCCAGATTATTATGACCACCTGACGTTTGTAGGCAAATTAGCCGTACATTGCATCGTATGGGGGTATGGAAGCCTAACGCCTGTTCGAACACCTTTGCTGTCT